ACTCTTGCTCATGTTGCCCAGGCTGGAGTGCAGTGGCACGATTTCGGCTCACTGCAACCTCCACCTCCTGGGTTCAAGCGATTCTCCTGCTTCAGCCTCCTGAGTAGCTGGGATTACAGGCGCCCGCCACCACAACCAGCTAATTTTTGTACTTTTAGTAGAGACAGGGTTTCACCATGTTGGCCAGTCTGGTCTCAAACTCCTGACCTCAGGTGATCCGCGGATTACAGGTGTGAGCCACTGCGCCTGGCCAAGAATTGTTTAATACCAACATAAATTTTAATTTCTTAGGTATTAATATTCCCCCACCCATTTCTTGAAATAAAAAGGGGGAAAAAGAGAATAAATAAATAAACTATTTTTCCTGAGCCCTAGCTGTGTGCCAGTAATCTTCTAGGTACTTAAAGATGTATATTATAGGAAAAATATAGGAAAAATTATGTTAACTTATTTTAAAGACTAAAAAAGTGACAGCACAGATGTTAACTAACTTAACGAAAGTTACATATACAGATAAATTAATACATGCTGATATGGCTGGTTTGTGCACTTCTCTTTTCTCAAAAACCATTCAGTTAATGCTTTTTGATAATCTGTCTGTGGCGTGCAGGTGCCTAGCACAGAGATACAGAAAGGTTTGAGTCTGTCAATAAAGGAGATTGACAAATGACTCACCAATTGTAACATGGCCTAATTTTTTCTGTGCAAAAGTATGTTCATCATTCTGAAAGTCTCAGAAAGGATAACCAACTTGGCTTAAGTGGCACCCCTGCTGAGAAGCCTATTTTCAACTTCAGTCATCTGCAGCTGAGCCACAGCAATAAGAGTTATGAAGGCAGAAGAAGGATGAGAGGAGATCCCAGGCAGACACCAGGATGTGCACAGAAAGACTCCCTTTCCCTTCCATAAAATTCAGTTCAAGAAGGGAGTTCATTTTCCTGGTTCAACATAAAGGCAATATAAAGGTATACAAGATACATCTACCTATTACCTATTTTTATAATTAAAATATCCTAGACAAAATTTTTATCGTATATTTATAGAGAGGTTCTGAGTCCCAGAAATGAATAGCATCCTATATTGGACATTAGTAAATACTGACTGGTACAAAAATGTTGTATTATATTTACTGAGAAAACTTTCTTCTCTGTACTTTGGTAAGCATAGAGAGTTCAGTGATAAAAGACAGAACATTTGCCTTTGGGAGTCCAGTGTAGTAAGAGAGTCATTTATGCAGACATGTAGCAAATCATTATGAACTATGACAGTGATATGTGCTGGATAACCTAGAGGCATAAAGCAAAGGTGCCCAATCTCTTATGCTTAATACTAGAAGTCAGATTTGCCAACGTCTTTGGATAGAGATGCTTGAGTATCACTCTCAAGATCTCATTCTGCAAGTAAGAACATGAAGAGTTCATTTTGTATTAAATTCTATGTTGATGCTGTTTTTCTTTGATGATTATAATGATGATGATGGTGATGTTTAATGATGAGAATGATGATGACACCCGTAGTTGGTCTCAAAACACACAGAATACCTCCTAACTCCATAGCTCCAGCTAAAATTTAGGAGCATATGTAGGCTAGAGTAATATCATTTGGGTCAACTGCAATGATATGCTTTTCCAAGGTATCTGGTCAATGACAGGACTGTTAAAATCAGCACTTACACAGACATTTAGCATTGATTGGCCTCAGCAATTAAGAACTCACTAGGGCCATAAAGTAAAAGCAGCAATAATTCTTTATCATCTGTGACTGCTAGAGATACTCTTGGACCACAGGTCTAGGAATGAGGACATCATCAGATAAAAATTATTGGAAACACTGTGGTTTGACTTTCATATGTAAAGTTTTGTTTTGTAGTTTGTAATTGTTTTCCTTTAGATGAGAAAACATGTAGGCAGAATAAGGAGGTTTGTTAGCCACAGTAGATTTGGGGAGAACAAAGAACTCTGTTTTGCTCTTTTTTCTTTTTTCTTTTTTCTTTTCTTTTTTCTTTTTTTTCTTTTTTTTTTTTTTTTGAGATGGAGTCTCACTTTGTTGCCCAGGCTAGAGTGTGATCTTGGCTCACTGCAACCTCTGCCTCCCAGGTTCAAGGGATTTTCCTGCCTTAGCCTCCCGAGTAGCTGGAACTACAAGCACCCACCACCACACCCAGCTAATTTCTGTATTTTTA